AGGCCGAGGCGGGTGGATCACGAGGTCGAGAGATTGAGACCATCCTGGTCAACATGGTGAAACCCCGTCTCTACTAAAGGTGCAAAAAATTAGCTGGGCATGGTGGCGTGTGCCTGTAATCCCAGCTACTTAGGAGGCTGAGGCAGGAGAATTGCCTGAGCCCAGGAGGCGGAGGTTGCGGTGAGCCAAGATCGCACCATTGCACTCCAGCCTGGGTAACAAGAGCGAAACTCCGTCTCAAAAAAAAAAAAAAAAAACAACAAACAAACAAAAAAACACCTCTTTGAGAACCATGATATTTGCAAGTTAATTTTTTTTTTTTTTTTTGAGATGGAGCCTCACTCTGTCGCCCAGGCTGGAATGCAGTGGTGCAATCTCAGCTCACTGCAACCTCCGCCTCCCTGGTTCAAGCGATTCTCTTGCCTCGGCTTCCCAAGTAGGTGGGACTGCAAGCAGGAGACCACTACTGCGCCCAGCTAATTTTTTTGTATTTTTAGTAGAGACCAGGTTTACCATGTTGGCCAGGATGGTCTTGATCTTTTGACCTTCTGATCCGCCTGCCTCGGCCTTAAAAAGTGCTGGGATTACAAGGGTGAGCCACCACGCCCTGCCTGTTGTTATTTTAAGGGGATGCCTATAGCATTGTGCAGTATGGATTGCAGTATTCTTTGCTCTTCCCCTGTTGAAGGACTTTAGTTGGTTTCCAATTTTTCACCCCGGGCTTAGTGGAGTAAGACCCAAAGTCTTGGTGCCCTGCTTATATTAATTGTTTTATTTATTTATTTATTTTTGAGATAGAGTGTTGCTCCGTTGCCCAGGCTGGAGTGCAGCCAACACTTTGGGAGGCAGTGCATGTCACCTCGGCTCACTGCAACCTCCGCCTCCAGGGTTCAAGTGATTCTCCTGCCTCAGCCTCCTGAGTAGCTGGGATTACAGGCATCCACCACCACCAGACTGATTTTTGTATTTTTAGTAGAGATGGGGTTTCACCATATTGGCCAGGCTGGTCTCGAACTCCTGACGTCAAGTGATTCACTTGCCTCGGCCTCCCAAAGTCCTGGGATTGCAGACGTGAGCCACTGTGCCTGGCCTATTAATTGTTTTAAATTGTGAGATGTACAAAGCATACAAAAATACTGAATATAACATAAATGTGCAATTTATAGAATAATAAATGTGGACCAAGTACTCACCTCCCAGCTTAATAGGCCATGACCTATTTTGGAAATTCCTCCCTAAATTCAGCCCCTTTTTTTTTTGCCCTAGAAGAAACCAGTGCCCTGAATGTGGTTAAGCATTTATTTGCTTGTCTTCATGTTTTTCTAATACGTATGGATTTTTTTTTTTTTTTTTTTTTTTTTGAGACGGAGTTTCGCTCTTGTTACCCAGGCTGGAGTGCAATGGCGCGATCTCGGCTCACCGCAACCTCCGCCTCCTGGGTTCAGGCAATTCTCCTGCCTCAGCCTCCTGAGTAGCTGGGATTACAGGCACGCGCCACCATGCCCAGCTAATTTTTTTTGTATTTTCTTTAGTAGGGATGGGGTTTCACCATGTTGACCAGGATGGTCTCGATCTATTGACCTCGTGATCTGCCCGCCTCAGCCTCCCCAAGTGCTGGGATTACAGGCTTGAGCCACTGCGCCCGGCCTGGATTTTTTTTTTTTTTTAAGATGGACTTTCAGTTTTGTTGCCTGGGCTGGAGTGCATTGGCGCAATCTCGGCTCCTGGGTTCAAGCAATTCTCCTGCCTCAGCCTCCTAAGTAGCTGGGACTATAGGCGCCTGCCACCACACCTGGCTAACTTTTGTATTTTAGTAGAGATGGGGTTTCACCACGTTGGCCAGGCTGGTCTCAAACTCCTGATCTTGTCATCTGTCCGCCTCAGCCTCCCAAAGTGTTGGGATTACAGGCCTGAGCCACCCTGTCCAGCCTCTCATTACTATATTCCTGTTAGGACAAATTGCGGCTATTTCAGAAGTACGAAGTATCAAACCAGAAAGGACTTGATTTAGGAGCCAATCTGGGCTGTCGTGTTGGAAAAAGCAGGCAGAATCTCAGCGATGGAACTGCGGCATGGGGCAATGGCCATTGCTTTCAGTTCGGCCTAGCTAGCAAAAAGGTGGCCTTGTTATGTCGATAAAGTCCCTTTAGTAGTCTAAATCAAACATCTTTCCTCTTTAAAGTTTTTTTCTTTTGCTGGGTATTTTCTTTCCTACCATATCACCTTTTTTTTTTTTTTTTTTTTTTGGATGGGAATTTAGCCACTTCAATGTCTGTGTTCCCCGAAATTTGGAAGTTTCCTTTTGATTTGATCAAGGTGGATAGAGTTGACCACACTCAGTGGGAAAATGACCAAAACAACAACAAAAACAGAAGCAAACAAACAACAAAAATACCAGTTAAGCAAAACTGTGGCACAACTTACATGGTCACGGAGCGCTCTAATGGTAAGGATGAATTCATGTTACAGGAAAGGGGTCCCAATTCAGACCCCAAGAGAGGTTTTTGGATGTCACGCAAAAAAGAATTCAGGGCCAGTCTGTAGAATAAAGCAAAAGCCAGTTTATGAGGAAAGTAGGGTAAAAGAATGTCCATAGACAGAGCAGCCCTGAGGGCTGCTAGTTGCCCATTTTAATGGTTATTTCCTGATGATATGCTAAACACAGGTGGGGTGGAATATTCATGCCTTCCCTCTCACCCTGAAATTGCCATGGCATTTGTAAACTGTCACGGGGCTGGTGGGAGCGTAGCAGTGAGGACAAACAGAGGTCACTCTCATCACCATCTTGGTTTTGGTGGGTTTTAGCTGGCTTATTTACTGCAACCAGTTTTATCAGCAAGGTCTTTATGACTTGTGTTGTGTGCCGACCTCCTATCTCATTCTGTGACTTAGAATCCCTTAACTGTCTGGGAATGCAGTCCAGAAGATCTCAGCCTCATTTTACCCAGCCCCTACTCAAGGTGGAGTTGCCCTGGTTCAAATGCTTCTGACATTGAGACCAGCTGGTTGCTGACTGTAACTTTAGTCATGACAAACCCCAATTCAGTTACTTACCTAGGGATGGGTCTCAGGCTATAGACCGTTCTCTACCATTGTAGAAGCAGAAAAAAGACCTCATCTTCCCTGTTGGAAGCGAACTCAAACTCCATAAAGGAATTACCTGCCTTCCACTGTCATGGAAACAGGAAATCTTGCCTTTCCTGTTGGAATCAAGTAAAACTCTAAAAAGGAGTTGTACAGCAAAATAAACTTTTTATCTCCACCAGATTTTGGGAGACCAGGGATTCTCAACCAGGGTTGCTCTCAGACCTGAGCAAATTGTCTTATTGGTTTGAGCCATAAGGTTAGCTCATGCTGGTACCAAGCATGGAGATTTGTCAAAAGTCAAGGGCATCTCTACTCAGAACCCCTGCATGGTTATCAACATGTGAACCCAGAAAATCCGAGACAGGTCTCGGTTACTTCAGAAAGTTTATTTTGCCAAGGTTGAGGATGTATGCCCGTGACAAAGCCTCTGGAGGTCCTGATGACGTGGTCAGAGTGAAGTTTGGTTTTATACCTTCTAGGGAGACATGAGACATCCAGCAACATATGCAAGATGAACATTGGTTCTGTCTGGAAAGGCGGGACAACTCGAAGCAAAGGCTAAGGGCCGGGCACGGTGGTTTACGCCTGTAATCCCGGCACTTTGAGAGGCTGAGGCAGGTGGATACCTGAGGTCAGGAGTTCGAGACCAGCTTGGCCAACATGGCGAAAACGCATCTATACTAAAAATACAAAAATTAACTGGGCATGGTGGTCTGGGCCTGTAATCCCAGCTATTCGGGAGGCTAAGACAGGAGAATCACTTGAACCCAGGAGGCAGAGGTTGCAGTGAGCCGAGACCACTCCAGCCTGGGCAATAGAGCAAGACTCCACCTCAAAAAAAAAAAAAAAAAAAAAAATGCCAAGGTGGGCCAAGGGCAGTGGCTCACTCTTGTAATCCCAGCACTTTGGGAAGCTGAGGTGGGCGGATCCTCTGAGGTCAGGGCTTCAAGACCAGACTGGCCAACATGGTTAAATCCGGTCTCTACAAAAATACAAAAATTAGCAGGGCATGATGGTGGGTGCCTGTAATCCAGCTACTCAGGAGGCTAAGGCAGGAGAACCGCTTGAACTTGAGAGTCAGAGGTTTCAGTGAGTCGAGATTGTGCCACTGCACTCCAGCCTGGGAGACTGAGGGAGACCCTGTTTCAAAACAAAACAAAACAAAAAACAGAAAAACAAAGTGGTGGGGGCGGGCTTCCAGGTCATAGATAAGAGACAAATGGTTGCATTCTTTAGAGTTTCTGATTAGCCTCTCCAAAGGAGGCAATCATAGATGCATTTATCTCAGTGAGCAGAGGGGTGACTTTGAATAGAATGGGAAACAGTTTGGCCGGCCCTAAGCAGTTCCCAGCTTGACTTTTCCCTTAGTAGCTTAGTAGAGTGGGGCCCCACGACCACGATTTATTTTCCTTTCACAAATGTGTATTTTGATACCTATTGGTATACTATGTACATGATTGTATTATACTATGACATTATCTTGTGTCTATACACGATGTATTTATTTGTTAATTGTCTCCCGTCCTCCTCACACCTTTCCTGTTGACAGAAGGACAAGAATTTTGCTTTGTTCGCTGCTGTCTCCACAAAACTCCCAAAAGTGCCCGGAATGCTGCAGGCGCTCTGTAGAGACCTGCAGGAAGACGTAGCGAATGAATGATGCACACGTGCAGGAGCCAGCGGACTCACACGCACCGCGGGGAAGTGGCGGCGCTGGTTCCGCTGCCCTAACGCCCTCCAGCTCCAGGGGAGGTCGGGGAGCCGGGGCCGAGGCACGTGCGCACCCCCCGCCCTCAGGCCCCTCCCTGCGCCGCCCCTGCCGCGGGCCCGCGGCGAGCACTCCTTTGCGCGGAGGGTTACACGCGAGTGGGCGGGCCCTAGATCAGGGGGCGGGGCAGGGACCAGGGGGCGGGGCCTGCGGGGCGGGGCCTGGGCCAAGTGGCCCGCGGGAGGTGGCGGCGCCGGTTCAGCCTGCCGCTCTGTGCCGCGGTCGCCGCCGTCTCTTTCCTCCAGGCCTCCCCGGCCGTCGCCGTCCCCCGTCCCCGGTCCCCGGCCCTCGCCGCAGCCCCGGCCCGTGGTCCCCGGCCCTCGCTTAGCCCCGGCCGCCCCGCCGCCGCCATGTCCAAGGAGGAGCACGCCGGGCGCGAGGAGATCCTGGAGAGCCAGGTGATGTGGGAGCCTGACAGCAAGAAGAACACGCAGATGGACCGCTTCCGGGCGGCCGTGGGCGCCGCCTGCGGCCTGGCGCTGGGTGAGAGCCGGGCGCGCGGCCGGGCCTGCGGGGGGCGGGAGGGGGCCGTGCAGGGTGATTGGGGTGGTCTCCCCTTGGCTAGTTTCCTGCTCTGGGGCTGGAGAAGCCGCTTGGTGGCTGGGAGGCCTTCGGACTGCGGGGTTTTCCCTCCTGTCTTGGGGAGCATCACCCCTCCACAGCACCTCCCGGCACCTCCTAACAGCGGCGTCTCCTCTGCGTATGGGGGTCGCCCTCTCCTCGGGAAGGTCACCCTTGTGGGGGCTTCCTCCTGGACGTAGGGCCGTTTTGACTTGCAGCTCTTCCTCTGTTTGTGGGGGGTCCTTTGCCGGCCCCCAGTGCCGTGCACTCTGCCCCCTTCACCTCTGCCATCTCCGGCTGCCCCTGCTAGAGGCCAGCAGCTAGAAGGATGGTCAGGTGAGAGCCCTTGCCCTCGTCCACACTCCCGGCCCCCAAACAGAACCTAGTAAAAGACTTTCCAGCCATCCCCTGGAATCAGAAACTGCCTCTCTGGGTGTGGGTGGGTAGGGGTGCGCTTTCCGAGCTCTAGCTGGCTTGCCCAACTACCAGCTCCACCTCTCCACCCCTGCCTCTCCTGGGTGTTCCTCTGGATTTTTAACTCAGGGCCTCTCCACCTTACCCTCTCCACCGGCGGCGGGGACTCCCTCGTTTCTGTTGGTGGCGTTACTGTTGTTGCCGAGGCTCACGGGAATGGACACCCCAGTCACTTGGCCGGCACCGCAAACCCTTCTCTCATCCCCTCCTTTGCAGCTCCACCCCACCCCACCTTCTCCGCCACGTGCCAGGGATTCTGGGGCCGCCTTTCCTCCTCTCCGAACAGTAGTTAGTTTTCCTGCTTCCTGCTTTTCCACCCATTTGCATCCTGCTTGCGTCGCCAAAGTAATCTTGAAGCACACAGGTCTTACTTTGCCACTCCTTGGCTCAGAAGTTCTCAGTGGTTCCTTGTTGACCACAGAATTGCAGGCGGCTGCCTGGCAAAGGCCAAGCCCTCCACAGCATGGGGGATCTTCCACAGAGTCCCTTTCCTATGCTAAGCCAGCGCTGCTCCTCTCCTTCCCTTTCTCTCGCTTGGAAACAGGTTTAGTTCTGTGGCAACCAGGGCTTCCGGACAGCAGCTGGTAAATCACTGTGTGTGGGATTCGGGCAGAACAGCCTGGAGACCCTGGAAGAAGCTGGGGGCTGCGACGTGGGATTAGCTTCTTCCTCTGTGTCACCTTGCCTATCCTCTGCCAGCAGTAATAGAAATTATGAAATAATTTCAGGTACAGGCAGCCCTGTGAGATGGGTGAAACCACCTGCCTCCATGGAAAGTGGTGAAGAGAGGAGATCTGTAATCTGACCACCTGGATTTTGAACTAGCTCCACCATTTACCAGGAGGAAGTCATTAGATCTCCCCATGCCTCATTTCCTCATCTGTAAAATGGGCATAACAGGACCTGAGTCATTGGGGGCGACGTGAGATGGTGAAGCCCAGCACTCAGCTCTGCCCTGGGCCCGTGGGGTTGTGGAGTAATGGTGAGCAAGTGCTGGGAGGGCCTGAGCAGCTGCGGACCCCTTTCCCTCTTTCTAGGCTCTCAGACTGGTGGCCAAGGGTCAGGTTTGGTCTGCAGACACACTGTTGAGTTGCCTGCATTTAAAAGTTAGGAGAGGCCGGGCGCGGTGGCTCAAGCCTGTAATCCCAGTACTTTGGGAGGCCGAGGCGGGTGGATCACGAGGTCAAGAGATCGAGACCATCCCGGTCAACATGGTGAAACCCCGTCTCTACTAAAAATACAAAAAATTAGCTGGGCATGGTGGCGCGTGCCTGTAATCCCAGCTACTCAGGAGGCTGAGGCAGGAGAATTGCCTGAACCCAGGAGGCGGAGGTTGCGGTGAGCCAAGATCGTGCCATTGCACTCCAGCCTGGGTAACAAGAGCGAAACTCCATCTCCAAAAAAAAAAAAAAAGTTAGGAGAGGGGGCTGGGTGTGGGGGCTCACACCTGTAGTCCCAGCACTTGGGGAGGCTGAGGTGGGTGGGTCTTTTGAGCCCAGGAGTTTGAGACCAGCCTGGTCACTGCAGACGGTGAAAGAGTTAAGTCCCTGTTTCAAATAAATCAGAGTTGAGAGAGCGCATAGGAAAGCAAGCTTTGTAACCTCTGACCACCCAAGGCCTGTGATGCTGGGTCTGCATTCCCAACGTGGCAGCCATTGTTGGGAACTGAGTGAGTCCCCTCCCTGGGTGTTTAGAACTCAGTTTTTTTTTTTCTTTTTTCTTTTTTTCAGCAAGATCTTCAAGGTATAGAGCTCAGTTTTTGTTTGTTTGTTTGTTTGAGATGGAGTCTGGCTCTGTAGCCCAGGCTGGAGTGCAGTGGCATGATCTTGGCTCACTGCCACCTTCACCTCCCCCGTCCTGGGTTAAGCAATTCTCCTGCCTCAGCCTCCAGAATACCTGGGGTCACAGGCATGGGCCACCGTGCCCAGCTAATTTTTTTTTTTTTTGCATTTTTAGTAGAGATGGGGTTTCACCATGTTAGCCAGGCTGATCTCGAACTCCTGACCTCAGGTGATCCACCCGCCTCAGCGTCCCAAAGTGCTGGGATTATAGGCATGAGCCACTGCACCCAGCCTCTTACCACTCTTGATGGTGATTTTCCACCTGCCTCTCCCCTTTCATATACCTGGCCCTGGAGGCTTTGGGCTTTGCTTGAAGATCCAGCTCCAGTGCTATCTTTTTTGATTATTTTCTTTGAATATTTCTGCCTTCCCTCTTCTCTCCAAGCACATGTAATTTGGGCTTTCATTCTGCCCTGCCTTTTTGTGAATTTGTGAGCATTCTTCTTGCTTAAAGACAGTGCCTGTGAACTTGAATCCTCTGTGTCCCAGTAGAGGCTTGCTTGTAGCCTGTATACAGTATGAGGCCATGCCGTGGACGGGAGGTCCGTAGAGAGCAAGGCACACATCCTCAGCAGCCTTGCTCCAGCCCTGCAAGCCCCAGGGAGGAAGAGAGGGACGCTCCCCACTCTGGCTGCCTCTCCTGTGAGCCTGTCTTCCCAGACCAAAGTTGGGTGTTGACATTTTCAGTACTGCGCTACTGTATGGCAGATGCACCTGATGCCGTAACTTCAGGAGAATTGGTGTTAGGAGTTTCAAGTTAAGGAATCTGGGAGTGGCCAACCCGATTTATCCCTTGTCTATGAGGAACGTCTGAACCTCTGACCCATCCCATGGAACGCAAGCTCTATGTGAGGACCGAGGCCTTTTCTTTTGGGTTAAATGAGGGTTACCAGGTGGAAGGTGCTAGGGGAGGGTGCTAAGTGAAGGTGCTGTGTAAACTACATGCATTTTACAAGCGGCTGCGGTTCTTCTGTTCAGCCTGCTGTCCGCGGACCGTCCATGTAGGTAAGTTTCCAATAAAGCCTGTGTCACGTTCGCTGCATCCAGATCTCTGGAACCTGCTGCCATCTGTTGGAGTTAGTAGGGGGTCCAGCACAACAGCAGTGGATCAGCAGAGAATGTGGTTTAGAAGGGCAGGTAGCTTGTAATCTCTGACAGCAGTGGCTTAGCAGAGAATATGGTTTAGAAGGGCAGGTAGCCTGTAGTCTCCGACAGCAGTGGCTTAGCAGAGAATGTGGTTTAGAAGGGCAGGTAGCCTGTAATCTCCGACAGCAGTGGCTTAGTAGAGAATGTGGTTTAGAGGGCAGGTAGCCTGTAATCTCAGCTACTTGGGTGGCCGGGGCAGGAGGATTGCTTGAGTCCAGGAGTTTGAGGCTGCAATGAGCCATGATCATACCATTGCACTCTAGCCTGGGCAGAAGAGTGAGACCCTGTCTCTAAAAAAATGAATAAAAACAGGGCAGCCGGGCATGGTGGCTCATGCCTGTAATCCCACCACTTTGGGAGGCTGAAGTGGGTGGATCACTGGAGGTCAGGAGTTTGAGACCAGCCTGATCAATATGGTGAAACCCCATATTTAAAAAAAAAACAAACAAAAAACAGGGCAGATAAAATAGTCAGCTGAGATTGGAAGGTGTAAGCTGGCCCAGATTTTCAAAGGTAGAGAGGAAGAAGAGCTGAAAATTCAGGAGCCTGTAGGGACCAGATAGGTGCCCGAGATATTAATAATAGTTGCATTTAGTGAGCTCGCTCTATATGCCAGGCCCCCTCTGGCACCTGATATGTATCAGATAATGCAATTCTCTCAATAATCATGCCAAGCAGCTGGGAGCTGTAGCCCTATTTCATGGCTGAACAAACCAAGGCATGAAGTCTCAGTTAAGACTTTTTAGCTGTCGGGGGCTGGGCACAGTGGCTCATGCCTGTAATCCCAGCATTTTGGGAGGCCGAGGTGAGCGGATCACCTGAAGGTCAGGAGTTTGAGACCAGCCCGGTCAACATGGTGAAACCCCATTTCTACTAAAAATACAAAAGGGCCAGGCATGGCAGCTCATGCCTGTAATCCCGGCACTTTGGAAGGCCAAGGTGGGCAGATCACTGAGGTCAGGACTTCAAGACCAGCCTGACCAATATGGTGAAACCCTGTCTCTACTAAAAATACAAAAATTAGCCAGGCATGGTGGTGGGCGCCTGTAATCCCAACTACTCGGGAGACTGAGGCAGGAGAATTGCTTGAACTCAGGAGGTGGAGGTTGCAGTGAGCCCAGATCGCACCATTGCACTCCAGCCTGAGTGACAGAGAGAGACTCCGTCCCCCCAAAAAAGAAATACCACTAATACAAAAATTAGCCAGGAGTGGTGGTATGCACCTGTAATACCAGCTACTTGGGAGGCTGAGGCAGGAGGATTGCTGGAACCTGGGAGGCAGAGGCTGCAGTGAGCCGAGATTGTGCCATTGCACTCCAGCCTGGGTGACAGAGCAAGACTCTCGCAAAAAAAAAAAAAAAAAAAAAAAGACCTGTAGCTGTAGGCAGTGGAGCTGTAGTCTGCCTTCTGGTCAGTTGTTGCCTCTGGCATTTGTGTGAGGGCCAGATGAGGCCTTGCTCCCAGTTCTAGCTAATTGTCACTATGTGATGTAGACAATGCATTTGTTATCTCTTGCTGGTGACAAATCAGCCCAAAAGTTAGTGACTTACAACAAGAGTAAACCTTTATTACCGTTCAGTTTCTGTGGGCCAGGATTGGGGAGTGGCTAGCAGCGTGGTTCTGGCTCAGGATCCCTCAGGCTGCGTAAGCCTCCTCACAACCCATCCCTGGCTGCTCCCGGAGCAGGTGACCCAAGAGGGCCACGTGGCTGCAGTGACCCTTACAACTTGGCCTTGGAAGTCATGTTTGGCCACTTCCACAGTACCCTATTGGTGACACAGATCACCCCTGCTCAGGTTGGGAAGGGGACCATCGAGGGTCATGAATGCCTGGAGGTGACAATTACTGGCTGACGACCACAGTTAGGTACTCACTTTTCTCAGGAGAAGCGAATTTCATTTAAAATGGATTTATAAGGCTGGGCACAGTGGCTCATGCCTGTAATCCCAGCACTTTGGGAGGCCAACGCATGCGGATCGCCTGAGGTCAGGAGTTTGAGACCAGCCTGACCAACATAGACCCCGTCTCTACTAAAAATACAAAGTGAGCTGGGTGTGGTGGCACATGCTTGTAATCCCAGCTACTCGGGAGGCTGTGGCAGGAGAATCGATTGAACCTGGGAGGCGGAGGTTGCGGTAAGCCGAGATTGCGCCACTGCACTCCAGCCTGGGCAGCAAGAGCGAAACTCCGTCTCAAAAAAAAAAGAAAATAATTTATGTGCTTACTTTGGCAGCACATATACTAGGCAGAAAGATGATCCTGATCCCTGCACACGGTGGACACGCACATTTACAAAGTAGTCCTTAAAAACAAGAACAGGCTCTGAAGTGTGAGCAGCTTGTGTAGGCTGAATTAGACCTGGGCTTGCGGGTTGCAGCCTCCTCCCTGGTAGAGGCGGGGAGCGTGGGAGCTGAAGAGTGTGTCTGAATAGTCGTATTCAATGAGAAGGCTTAGTCGTCAACAGTGCGCAAGCTTCCGCGTGAAGTCGCCGCTCTTGCTGCAGTCTCCCAGGGTCCTTGTGGTGTCCAGATGCCTTGGTGGCCTGCTTCCTTCCAGATTTGTGGGGCCGGCCGCCTCTGCCTTCCTTAGCGGTGCTGTTGGTGAATGTACTTTTGTGATAGGCTTTTTTTTTTTTTTTGAGACGGAGTTTCGCTCTTGTTACCCAGGCTGGAGTGCAATGGCGCGATCTCGGCTCACCGCAACCTCCGCCTCCTGGGTTCAGGCAATTCTCCTGCCTCAGCCTCCTGAGTAGCTGGGATTACAGGCACGTGCCACCATGCCCGGCTAATTTTTTGTATTTTTAGTAGAGACGGGGTTTCACCATGTTGACCAGGATGGTCTCGATCTCTCGACCTCGTGATCCACCCGCCTCGGCCTCCCAAAGTGCTGGGATTACAAGCTTGAGCCACAGCGCCCGGCCTTTTTTTTTTTTTTTTTTTAAAACGGGGTCTCACTCTGTCACCCACCCAGGCTGGAGAGCAGGGGCAGGATCATAGCTCACTATAGCCTTCGGCTCAGGCTACAGCGATCCTCTCAGCTGTCCCTGCTGCGCCAGTTCTCATGATCCCTCTGAGACAGCGTGACTGAGGACCATTCCTGGACACCACAGTCAGAGGGTACACTGCTGAAGGGCAGAGCATCATGTCTTTTCCTCTCTTCTCCCCCGAGGCTGGGAACAGTGAGGATGGACAATCTTTTGTTTGTTTTTTGTGAGATGGAGTTTCCCTCTTGATGCCCGGGCTGGAGTGCAGTTGCGTGATCTTGGCTCCACCTCCCGGGTTCAAGCGATTCTCTTGCCTCAACCTCCCAAGTAGTTGGGATTACAGGCATGTGCCACCATGCTCTGCTAATTTTGTCTTTTTAGTAGAGACGGGGTTTCTCCATGTTGGTCAGGCTGGTCTCAGACTCCCAACTTCAGGTGATCTGCCCTCCTCGTCTTCTCAAAATGCTGGGATAACAGACGTGAGCCACCGTGCCCAGCCACGATGGGCAGTCTTGATTGACTGATGGCAGTAATATAATTCAGCTCAGCAGTGGTATTATGCCTTTCCCTCATTCCTGATACCTCACTGGCCATCTTCCTGGTATGTTATTATATCCCTGCCAGTCTCTGCCTTCCTGGTGCCCCAACAGGGCTGTGCTTTGCAACAGAAGCACTGTATTTTGGCTTCACTTGGTCCCCCATAGGATGAAATTCTCCCTATCCCTAAGGGCTGATTGCTTCACTGCGGCCAGTCCACTTGGATCCTGTGCACTTGAGAGGGTAAAGAGTCCTCAGCTAGGCTGGGGTCAGTTTCGCAGTGAAAGTCAACTTTACTTTAGGACTTAAATGCCTCTCTTTGTATCAGTTTCCAGTTCATGTCTGGCTGGTGGGGAAAAGTTGTTTTGAATGTAATTGAGTGGAATCTGCAAGGAGGAACTCCCTTGGGCATAAAAAGTTAGATGGTTGTGGAGTAGAAGGAGGGAGACCTTTTGCCATATAACTTGTTATACTTCTTTAATTGTGAGTCTTGTGAACATATTGCTAATTCAAAAATCACAATAAGTAACTCCCCCCGTCCCGCCCCCGAACTTTATACTGGCCTTGAGAAGTCGTCAACAGACTACCAGTTTTGAACTTCTGGGTTTTCCAAGGTACTGACTTAATTTCCTAAGGATGTATGGTATAATAATGGCAAACTCCTAATGCCTCTGTGGTCACTTCCAAGGCCCTGCTGTTCTGAGCACTTTCCACATGTGCTCATTTAAATCCTCACAATAGCCCTGTGGTTTGAGGGGGGCTGTTAATTATCCCCATTTTGTACTTGCCTGAGGTCACAAAGCTAATAAATGGCTGAACCAGGATTTGAACCCAGGCTTTCGGGCTCCAGAGTCCGTGTTCTTTGGCATGGTGGCTAAGATATAAAATTACTGAAGATGACTCAAAAAATTACCACCTCAGCTTTTGTTCTTTTTGAGGACTAGAGGTGTTGGGTTTGTGTCAATAAAAATTAAGCTCCTGCCGGGCGTGGTGGCTCAAGCCTGTAATCCCAGCACTTTGGGAGGCCAAGGCGGGTGGATCACGAGGTCAAGAGATCGAGACCATCCTGGTCAACTTGGTGAAACCCCGTCTCTACTAAAAATACAAAAAATCAGCTGGGCATGGTGGTGCGTGCCTGTAGTCCCAGCTACTCAGGAGGCTGAGACAGGAGAATTGCCTGAACCCAGGAGGCAGAGGTTGCAGTGAGCCGAGATCACTCCATTGCACTCCAGCCTGGGTAACAAGAGCGAAACTCTGTCTCAAAAAAAAAAAAAAATTAAGCTCCTTCCTCCGCCAGACCATTTCTCTCAGATGACTTTGGCTCGCTTGGATACCCCTGAGGGTCCTGAGGTGTGTCCATCTTATTAATGAATTGCTGAGATTTCCCTCCTAAGGTTAATCTGAGCTATTTTATTTTTAGAGAATTATGATGACTTGTACCACTGGTCTGTTGAGTCATATTCAGACTTCTGGGCAGAGTTCTGGAAATTCAGTGGAATCATCTTCTCACGCACGTATGATGAGGTAAGTAGAGATTTTCTGTGCATGTGATCTCTTTATTTCTGTAGTGGTACTTCAAAGTGAAATGCTAATTTTGGGAAATACGGAATTGTATCTTCTTTTCACAATCTCATATGGATGGGAAAAAGTCATTGCCTTAGAGAACTGGCATGAAATTATTGCAGACTCATTGAGAATTTTGCAGCCTGCTGTGTGGGGACCCCAGGCTCTGTCCTGGGAACTTGAGTGATCGTAAATAGTAGGATTTTTTTGTTTCTTTGTTTTTAATTTAATTTAATTTTTTTTTGAGATGGAGTTTCACTCTTGTTACCCAGTCTGCAGTGCAATGGCGCGACCTCAGCTCACCGCAACCTCCGCCTCCTGGGTTCAGGCAATTCTCCTGCCTCAGCCTCCTGAGTAGCTGGGATTACAGGCACGCACCACCATGCCCAGCTAATTTTTTGTATTTTTAGTAGAGATGGGGTTTCACCATGTTGACCAGGATGGTCTCGATCTCTTGACCTCGTGATCCACCCGCCTCGGCCTCCCAAAGTGCTGGGATTACAGGCTTGAGCCACCGCGCCCGGCTGTTTTTAATTTTAAAATATTTGGGGCTGGGTGTAGTGGCTTATACCTTTAATCCCAGCACTCTGATAGACCAAGATGGGAGGATCTCTTGAGCCCAGGAGTTTGAGAGCAGGCTGGGCAACGTAGCAAGACCGTGTCTCCAAAAAAATAAATTAGCTGGCATGGTGGTGCATGCCTGCGGTCCCAGCTACTCAGGAGGCTGAGGTGGGAGGATCAGTTGAGCCCAGGAGGTTGAGGCTTCAGTGAGCTATGATTGCCCCACTGCACCCAGCCTGGGCTATAGAGCCAGACCCTGTCTCACACACAAAAAAGGTTTAATTATGTTAAAATACGTATATCATAAACTTTTATGTATGCAACCATCTTAACTATTTTTTTTTTTTTTGAGACGGAGTTTTCGCTCTTGTTACCCAGGCTGGAGTGCAATGGCGCGATCTCGGCTCACCGCAACCTCCACCTCCCAGGTTCAGGCAATTCTCCTGCCTCAGCCTCCTGAGTAGCTGGGATTACAGGCACGTGCCACCACACCCAGCTAATTTTTTGTATTTTTAGTAGAGATGGAGTTTCATCATGTTGACCAAGGATGATCTCGATCTCTTGATCTCGTTATCCACCCGCCTCAGCCTCCCAAAGTGCTGGGATTACAGGCTTGAGCCACCGCGCCCGGCCATCTTAACTATTTTTAACTGTACACTTCAGTGATATTAAGTACATTTACATTGTGGTAGGTTTTTTATTTTTTTGAGACAGAGTCTTGCTATGTTACCCAGGCTGGAGTGCAATAGTGTGGTCTCGGCTCGCTGCAACTTCTGCCTCCTGAGTTCAAGCGATCCTCCCGCCTCAGCCTCCTGAATAGCTGGGACTACAGGTGCATGCTACCACACCTGGCTAATTTTTGTATTTTTAGTAGAGATGGGGTTTCACTATGTTGGCCAGGCAAGTCTTGAACTCCTGAGCCTGTGATCTGCCCGCCTCGGCCTCCCAAAGTGCTGGGATTACACATGTGAGCCACTGTGCCTGGACTTTTTTTTTTTGAGATGGAGTTTCACTCTTGTTGCCCAGGCTGGAGAGTAATGGCATGATTTCAGCTCACTGCAACCTCTGCCTCCGGTGTTCAAATGATTCTCCTGTCCCAGCCTCTTGACTAGCTATGATGACAGGCATGTGCCATCAGGCCCAGCTAATTTTGTATTTTTAGTAGAAACGGTGTTTCTCCATGTTGGTCAGGCTGGTCTCAAACTCCCGACCTCAGGTGATCTGCCTGCCTCACTCAGCCTCCCAAAGTGTTGGGATTACAGGTGTAAGCCACTGTGCCCAGCTCTTTTTTTTTTTTTTTTGAGACAGAGTTTTGGTCTGTCACCGAGGCTGGAGTGCAATGGTGTCATCTTGGCTCGCTGCAACCTCCGCCTCCCAGTTTCTAGCACTTTTCCTGCCTCAGCCTCCTGAGTAGCTGGGGTTACAGTCATATGCCACCACACCTGGCTAATTTTTGTATTTTTAGTAGACACAGGGTTTCACCATGTTGCCCAGGCTGGCCTCAAACTCCCGACCTCAGGTGATCCACCTGCCTTGGCCTCCCAAAGTACTGGGATTACAGGTGTGAGCCACCATGCCTGGCCACATTGTCATAGTTTTTTAAACTATTAGGAGTTACGTTATGTATTTATTATTTCGAGGTAGAGTTTTGCTCTTGTTGCCCAGGCTGGAGCACTGTGGCTCAGTCTCGGCTCACTGCAACCTCTGTCACCCGGGTTCAAGCAATTCTCCTGCCTCAGCCTCCCAAGTAGCTGGGATTACAGGCATGCACCACCCTGCCTGGCTAATTTTGTGTTTTTAGTAGAGATGGCGTTTCTCCATGTTGGTCAGGGTGGTCTCAAACTCCCAACCTCAGGTGATCTGCCCTCCTCAGCCTCCCAAAGTGCTGGGATTACAGGTATGAGCCACTGTAACTAGCCAGGAGTTTTGTTATTTTTGTAACCTGGAGTTTAGAAAACTTTTCAACTCCTTACACTGTTAATCAATATGTATCTGGGAACAAGGAGTGCTCTTGTTCAAAGTCTAATTTATTGTCTCTTTGGGGCAAACCATTTTGAAATGTTGATCTTTTGGGACGTTGACAATAAAAATCAAGGTTCCAGGACCCTGAGGAAGGAAGCAAAGGCTGAAACTGCCGGAAGTTGTGGGAACGGGGCAAGTGGTCCCCGGAGCTTGCTCTCCTGGGCAGAGCCTGACGTGTTGGACGTCGTCTTTGTTTTCAGTATCTCTCATTAAGTAGGTGCTTAATAAACATTTGTGGAATGCATACATTACTGGGATGGTTATTTTCCCTTGGCATTAATTCCTACTTTCAGTTTCTAGCCTTTAGGCCAGTTCAGAGTTCAGTCTCTAAAATGATTTTAAAATGCTCTGGGCCAGTGAGTTAGCCAGCTTCCCGGGCAGCAGAACCGTGTTTAGCGGATTTGCGGCCTAGGCCTCGTGTGTGCGCATCTCAGTTTGCTGTGGTTCTCTGCAGGTTGTGGACACGTCGAAAGGAATCGCAGATGTTCCCGAGTGGTTCAAAGGCAGTCGTCTCAACTATGCAGAAAACCTCCTGCGGCACACAGAGAACGACAGAGTGGCCCTCTACGTGGCACGTGAGTCCCGATGGCGAGACCCGGGGTTTCCTCCGTGGAAGTTCTGGATGGTGCATGCGTGCGGTGCCACATGTTTGGAGAGATAGGATTTTTAAACCATAGGTTGGCACCCTTCTGATGTAATTAAGATTTTTGTTGACTTTATTTTTGCTGGAGAGGGGAGAGGGCCAGTGCGTGGTCATGTTTTACAGGCAAAATGGAGACACTCAGTATTAAGTAACCAGCTCGCATCACACAGAGAGTTAGTGATGGAACTGTAACTAGAATCTCTTCCCACTGACTTTTCCTTTTAAATAAAGTTGAGGCTGGGCGCAGAGGCTGGGCGTGGTGGCCCAGGCTGGAGCACACTGGCACGATCATGCATGCTCACTGCAGCCTCAGTCTCCCAGGCTCAAGCAATCCTCCCACCTCAGCTTCCTGAGTAGCTGGGACTAGTGGCACACAGCACTGTGCATGGCTGATTTTTTTTTTTAAATAGAGACAGGTCTTGCTATGTTCCCTGGCAGGTCTTGAAATCTTGGGCTCAAGCAGTTCTTCCATATCGGTTTCCCAGAGTGCTGGGATTTCAGACATGAGCCACTGCACTCGGCCCCTCTGTAGCTTGTAAAAATTTATTATTCATTATTTTTTAATTTTTTTTTTTTTTGAGACAGAGTTTCGCTCTTGTTACCCAGGCTAGAGTGCCATGGCGCGATCTCGGCTCACCGCAACCTCCGCCTCCTGGGCTCGGGCAATTCTCCTGCCTCAGCCTCCTGAGTAGCTGGGATTACAGGCACGCGCCACCATGCCCAGCTAATTTTTTGTATTTTTAGTAGAGACGGGGTTTCACCATGTTGACCAGGATGGTCTCGATCTCTTGATCTCATGCCTCCCAAAGGCCTCCGTCTCGCCCTCCCAAAGTGCTGGGATTACAGGCTTCAGCCACCGCGCCCGGCCTTATTTTTTAATTTTTTTGAGATGGGAGTCTCGCTCTGTCGCCCAGGCTAAACTGCAGTGTGGCATGATCTTGGCTGACTGCAACCTCTGTCTCCCAGGTTCAAGCAATTTTCCTGCCTCAGCCTCCTGAGTAGCTGGGATTATAGGCGTGTGCCCCCACACTTGGCTGTTTTTTTGGTATTTTTAGTAGAGACGGGGTTTCACCACATTGGTCAGGCTGGTCTCAAACTCTGGCCTTGTGATCCACCCGCCTCAGCCTTGGAAAGTGCTGGGATTACAGGCGTGAGCCACCATTATTTTTAAATTGTATGTTCAGCGAGAGTTTACTGGACACTCATTTTTGTCTAAGACATCTTGCAATGTAAGACTCAAAAAGAAACTGAAGTTATGATCTGCCTCCAGGATGTTATATTCTAATCATGTAAATAAGGCCAATATACACAGCAGCAGTTGGCAGTCTGTATTAAATGCCAAAATGAGTCTCTGTGTTGGCATTTTTTTTTTTTTTTTTGAGATGGAGTCTTTCTGTGTCACCCAGGCTGGAATGCAGTGGTCTTGGTTTGCTGCAATCTCTGTTTCTGGGTTCAGGTGATTCTCCTGCCTCACCCTCCTGAGTAAGCTGGAACTACAGGCGCCTGCCACCATGCCTGGCTAATTTTTATATTTTTAGTAGAGTTGGGGTTTCACCATCTTAGCCAAGCTGGTCTTGAACTCCTGACCTTGTGATCCACCCGCCTTGACCTCCCAAAGTGCTGGGATTACAGGTGTGAGCTACCGCCCCTGGTCATTTCTAGTGCGCATTCCTGGTGAAGTCATGGAGCAAAGTATTGATGTACCAGCCAGGCTGTTCAGTGTTCCATTCTCCTCTCCTTGGTTCCCAGCCTTGACACAGTCAGGGTGGAGTAGATGGGTGGCCTGGGAACAGGGCTCCAAGTGGCTCTCCCGTCTTCGTTGTGTGCCCGCCTGCCTTTTCATCCTCTCATTCCTCAGATGAATATCAAATGCCTCCTCTGTGCAAGAAGACAGAGTTGAGTGGGATAGACAGCTCCTTGCTCTGGGGGGTGGGGTGATGTTCTGGGGGGAAAGCGTGGTGGTTTAACAATAAGTAGGGAAACCTAGAATAAAATTCCAGATAGCGCTTAGTGCTTGGAAGAATAAATACAGCATCGTGATGGGAAAGGGATGATGGGGTGGGGTGCAGGGCTGTTTTAGACAGGGCTGCCAGGGAAAGCCTGTTTGAAGGAGGTGAGATCTGAGCAGAAACTTGAAGAACAAAAAGCAGCAGCCTTCCTCTGGCTGTCCCCTGTACCTGGAATCTCCTCCCCCGACCTCTGCCAACACGTTCCCAGGCACAGGGAACAGCCAGAAGAAGGCCTTGGGCTGGAGGAAGCTCTAGGGCTGTGGGGAACAGCCAGGAAGGCTGAGCTGGGGGCCTCGGCGGTGGGTCCAGGAGCGTGCAGGGTGTGAGGGGCAGTGGGCCGTCCTCTTCCACGGTGACCTGGCTGCTGGTGGAGAACGGGAAGGGATTACATCATGGGAAAGGAGACTTAGGAGGCTGCCCCATCTCTGCATCCCTAGCATTACCCTCTGGCAGTGGCAGAGGTGGCTCAGAGGCAAGAATCTGGGACTCGTGGAAGTGTCCACAGTGATACCAGACTTTCAGGAAAATCATGATAGTAAGTCCCAGCTTCATAAAGTTGGATCAGTGAGGACACTCCTCCAGGATTTCTTTACATTCTTTTTTTTTTTGAGACGGAGTTTCGCTCTTGTTACCCAGGCTGGAGTGCAATGGCGTGATCTTGGCTCACCGCAACCTCCGCCTCCTGGGTTCAGGCAATTCTCCTGCCTCAGCCTCCTGAGTAGCTGGGATTACAGGCACGCGCCACCATGCCCAGCTAATTTTTTTTGTATTTTTAGTAGAGACGGGGTTTCACCATGTTGACCAGGATGGTCTCGATCTCTTGACCTCGTGATCCACCCACCTCGGCCTCCCAAAGTGCTGGGATTACAGGCTTGAGCCACTGCGCCTGGCTTCTTTACATTCTTTAAAGTCTGGTGATTCCCTCACTGTTTCAGAAGAAGGCTTGGTTTACATCCGTGTTTCAGGAGCATCTGCCTGCGTAACTAGGCAGGCCCACGGCATGTCCCTGTGAATCTTCAGACATTAGTCTGAGGCAGACCCAGGTGGGAGACTCTGTGGCCCAGGCTCTGGGAAGGGGAGTGGCAGGAGTTAAAGATTCTTTTTTTTCTTTCTTTCTTTTTTTTTTTTTTTTTTTTGAGACAGGGTCTCACTCTGTTGCCCAGGCTGGAGTGCAGTGGCATGATTGTGGCTCGCTGCAGTATTGACTTCCCAGGCTCAAGTGATCCTCCCATCTCAGCCTCTTGAATAGCTGGGACCACAGGTGTGCACCACTGTGTCTGGCTAATTTTTTTTTTTTTTTTTTTGAGATGGAATCTTGCTTTGTCACCCAGGCTGGAGAGCAGTAGTACAATCTTGGCTCACTGCAACCTCTGCCTCCCGTGTTCAGGTGATTCTCCTGCCTCAGCGTCCCAAATAGCTGGGACTACAGGCGTGCACCACCATGCCCAGCTAATATTTGTGCTTTTAGTAGAGATGGGGTTTCACTGTGTTGGTCAGGTTGGTCTTGAACTCTTGACCTTGTGATCTGCCTGTGTTGGCCTCCCAAAGTGCTGGAATTATAAGTATGAGCCACCATGCCCAGCCAGGCTAATTTTTTTTAAGCTTTTTTGTAGAAATGAAGTTTCACCATGTTGCCCAGGCTGGTCTCGATCTCCTGGGTTGAAGCAATCCACCTACTTTGACCTCCATAAATGCTGGGATTGCAGGCATGAGCCACCACGCCCAGCCAGGTCTTTTTTTCCAATTGGCATATAATTCATATACCACAGAAATACCCTTTTCAAGCACACAGCTCAGTGGTTTTTAGCACTTTCAAGAGATTGTGCAGCCACCACCTTTAATTCCAGAACATTTCCGTTTTCTGAAAGGAAACCTCATTCCAGTTAGCAGTCGCTCCCCATTCCTGCCTTCCCAGCTCCTGGCGCCCACCTGTCTGCTTTCCTCCATGGATTTCCCTGTTGTGGTCATGTCGTATAACTGGATCACACAATATGTGACCTTTTGTGACTGGTTGCTTTTGCTCAGCACAGTGTCACCAGTGTTCATCCATACTGTAGCATATATCATTATTTCATTTGTTTTGTGTCCTGATAATCTTCCACAGTATGGATAGACCATGTTTTACTGATCCCTCAGAGGCTCCTATGAGGCTGGCCTGCCCCAGGCACAGCAATGCATGTAGGGATGTCCCTAGGGTGGCAACCCAGTCAACCCAGTCACCTCTTTCGTAATCCTGCGACAGAGAATGAGAACGCTGTGTCTCTTTTCTTTTCCTGGTCCCTTTAAATATGTGTGCTTCAACCCAGTGTCTCAGACGCTTCATGAGGTCCTGGTTTCTCCTGGAAAGTAGAAACTGTCAAATGTGAATCTTCTTAAAAAACCAAAGCCCCAAAACTAAAAATTGGTAATATACTTGAGTCCTAGTGATGGAATAAGCCAGTCTTCCCGGAACTTGTAATATGGGTGTCTGGGTAGAGACTGAACTGGGTGGGGTGTCTCTCTCTCTCAGTTATATACTGTGTGGGCTGAGCTCAGCCAGTTGCCTTTTATTTTTTTAAACCCAGCCCTGTCTCGAGGGTGGGTTAAGGCGGTAGGGTTATAATTCTGTGTCTGTTTCACACCCCAGTTCCTTTACCTTAACGTCTCTCCTCTTTACTCCCACCTTCTCTTCCCTTTTAAATATTTTAGCCCCTTCTTCTTTTTTTTCTTTTTTCTTTTTGCGACGGGGTCCAGCTCTGTCACCCAGGCTGGAGTGCAGTGTCTTAATCACAGGTCACTGCAACCTCCACCTCCCTAGTTCACACAATCCTTCCACCTCAGCCTCCTGAGTAGCTAGAGTTGCACGCCTGCGCCACCACATCCAGCTAATTTTTGTATTTTTAGTAGAGTTGGGGTTTCACCATGTTTGCCAGGCTGGTCTCGAACTCCTGACCTTCAATGATCTGCCCATCTCAGCCTCCAAAGTGCTGGACTTACAGGCATGAGCCACCTCACCCACCAGAGCCCCTTCTTTTCATGAGCTTTTCCCTTCCTTGTGTTTGCATTGGGAATAAATACCCTCCAGCCAGTGATCACAGTTAGTTTACAAATTGGAGCCTTACTTAAGCAGGACCTGAGCAGCTGATTATTGGCTTGGGGGCTTTAAGATCATTGTGTTTGGTTTTCTGCATGTTTCCTGACTTATTTACCCAGCTGCGTGCTTGCGCTCTGCTGCGTGCTCATTCAGGCATTCTCAGCAGAACTCATCTCTCCTATGGATGATCCCCGTCAAAGCCACACGATGCCCTACTTAAAAATATGTGTATATGTGTGTGTGTGTGTGTGCGCGCGCGTGCGCGCACGCGCGCACAGTTGCCTTCACACTCCGGCGAGGGGAGCAAACAACATGCATCAGCCCATCGGTATTGAGATGGTTAGAATAGCTGTCTGCACAGCACGTTTCGTTCGTGAAGAGTAGCTATCAGGTTTACGAATATTTTCATACGATAGAAAGTTACCTGGGCTGGGAATGTGGGAGAGGTAAGGAAAAGGCTGCCCCAGGGCAGCTAGGAAAGGATGAAGGGGAAACTCTTACCACTCTAGGCAGATAGGAACAAAAAATGATTTTTTTTTTTTTTTGAGATGGAGTTTCACTCTTGTTGCCCAGGCTGGAATGTAATGGTGTGAGCTCTGCTTACTGCAGCCTCTCTGTCTCCTGGGTTCAAGATTTTCTCCTGCCTCAGCCTCCTGAGTAGCTGGGATTACAGGCACATGCCAGCATGCCCTGCTCATTTTGTGTTTTTATTAGAGATGGGGTTCCACCATATTGGCCAGGCTGATCTTGAACTCCTGACCTCAAGTGATCCACATGGCTCGGCTTCCCAAAGTGCTGAGATTACATGTGTGAGCCACCATTCCCAGCCTGATTTTTTTTTTTTTTTTTTTGAGACACGGTCTTGATCTGTTGCCCAGACTGGAGTGCAGTGGTGCAGTCACGACTCTCTGCCCACTTGATCTGGATTCAAGCGATTCTACCACTTCAACCTCCCAAGTAACAGCCTCCCAAGTAACAGGCATGCGCCACCATGGCTGGCTATTTCAATTTTTTTTTTTTTAAGAGATGGGGTCCTCCCTATGTTGCCTAGGTTGGTCTTGAACTCCTGGGTTCAAGCGATCCTCCTATCTTAGCCTCTCAAAGTGCTGGGATTACAGGTATAAGCTATAACAACTGGCTAGAAAAAGCCAGATTTATGCCAAAGGGAAATCAGGATGTTTATTCACTTTGGAAAAGAAATAATTCATGTTATAGAATTGAAAAGTGATGACCAGTCGGGCACGATGGCTCACACCTGTAATTTCAGCACTTTGGGAGGCTCAGGTGGGTGGATCATGAGGTCAAGAGATCAAGACCATCCTGGCCAACATGCTGAAACTCTGTCTCTACTAAAAATACAAAAAAAAAAAAAAAAAAAAAAAATTAACTAGGTGTGGTGGTGCCCACCTGTAGTCCCAGCTACTCGGGAGGCTGAGGCAGGATAATCACTTGAACATGGGAGGCAGAAGTTGCAGTGAACCGAGATCACACCATTGTACTCTCCAGCCTGGTGAAAGAGTGAGACTCCATCTCAAAAAAAAGGACAGAAAAGTGATGATCGATCAGGAGCAAAATTTTTGCATCAAGAGTAATGGTCAAAGGATAACTTCTGTGCTATAGAAATTATCTTCGGATCATTTTCCTGTACCTTCGTGACACTGAGTCTTACTTGTATTGGTTATCTTTCCATGTCACAGATTACCTGAAAGCCATAGCTTAGAACAGGCATTTCTTACCTCCCAGTTTCTGTGGGTTACAAATCCAGCAGTGGCTTAGCTGGGTGGTCACTCATCAAATTGCAGTGAGGACACATGCATGTTACATCCACGTCTGTTTCCTGGAACCACGTACATACATGTTGCCTCCACGTCTGTTTCGGGAAACCACACATATGCACATTGCACCCACATGCAAATTGCATCCACGGCTGTTTTGTTGAACCATGCACATGAGTGTTGTTTCCTGGCGTTGCTGGTGTACTGTAGTTATGGAGGATGTAACCACTGGGGAAGCTGGGTGAGGGGGACATGGGACCTCTCTGTACTTTCTTTGTAGCTTCTTGTGAGTCTGTAATTATTTCAAAATTTAAAAAACCCCTACGATTATAATCAGAGGATTCTTCAGTTAATAAAAGCATTCCCAGTAGAAAATCTTTTTTTTTTTTTTTTTTGAGACGGAGTTTCGCTCTTGTTACCCAGGCTGGAGTGCAATGGCGCGATCTCAGCTCACCGCAACCTCCGCCTCCTGGGCTCAGGCAATTCTCCTGCCTCAGCCTCCTGAGTAGCTGGGATTACAGGCACGTGCCACCATGCCCAGCTAATTTTTTGTATTTTTAGTAGAGACGGGGTTTCACCATGTTGACCAGGATGGTGTCGATCTCTCGACCTCGTGATCCATCCGCCTCGGCCTCCCAAAGTGCTGGGATTACAAGCTTGAGCCACCGCGCCCGGCCAGAAAATCTTATTATTTTTTTTTTTTTTGAGACGGAGTTTCGCTCTTGTTACCCAGGCTGGAGTGCAATGGCATGATCTCGGCTCACCGCAACCTCCGCCTCCTGGGTTCAGGCAATTCTCCTGCCTCAGCCTCCTGAGTAGCTGGGATTACAGGCACGCACCACCATGCCCAGCTAATTTTTTGTATTTTTAGTAGAGACGGGGTTTCGCCATGTTGACCAGGATGGTCTCGATCTCTTGACCTTGTGATCCGCCCGCCTCGGCCTCCCAAAGTGCTGGGATTACAGGCGTGAGCCACTGCGCCCGGCGAAAATCTTATTTTTTTAAAATTTATTTTGAGACAGGTTCTTGCTCTGTTGCCCAGGCTGGAGGTCAGTGCTGTGATCATAGCTCATATGATTCTCCCACCTCAGCCTCCTGAGTAGCTGGGACTACAGATGCGTGCCATCATTCCTGGCTAATTTTTACGTTTTTGGTAGAGATGGAGGGCTCCCTCTGTTGCCTGGGCTGATCTTGAACTCCTGGGCTCAAGCAGTCTTCCCACCTCAGCCTTCAGAAGTGCTGAGATCATAGGCGTGAACCGCTGCACCCGGCCTAATAGAGAATCTTTGCACAGCACATGTTACTGTGTTTCCTCGGGTGACTCTCACACAGCCTTTCTTCTGCGTGAAGTTGAGTTGACCTGTATCTTAGCTTGTGTTCCCTGCATCTGTTTACCCTGGGTGTGGGTTAATAACCTGCATTAAAACAGGTGGGATTTTTCATTCAGTGTCTGTGGCTTGCACACTTTCTTTTTGCAGTGGCCTATGTACAATTTACCCTTTTTCTCTTCCCAGGGGAAGGCAAAGAGGAAATTGTGAAGGTGACTTTTGAAGAGCTGAGGAGAGAAGTGGCTTTGTTTGCAGCAGCAATGAGGAAAATGGGTGTGAAGAAAGGAGATCGGGTCGTTGGTAAGTATTTTGGGTGCTGGTGATGGTTTGAGGGAGGAGATCAAGCTAGAGTGGGTAGTGTGAAGGTCAAGACGACTTTTGAACAAGGGGGAGTCCTGTCATATTACCCTGTGGGACTTGGATTCTACATGCAAGGCAAAAAATAGACGAAGGAAAATCGCTGAAAAATTACCCTGCCCTGCAAAGGCAGGAATTTGCTTTGCTTTGTGCCCTGCTTTGTCCCAGAGCCTAAAACAATTCCAGGAACATCAAGAGATTGATGTTCAGTGTTGGTTTGCCAGATTCAAACCGTTCAATGTTGGTTTGCCAGAAGAATGCAGGTGCCTTTACGAGTTAGCCCTGCAGCCAGGCAGGGCAGGAAAGGGCGGTCCGGGCAGCAGCAGCGGCCTGGGCAGAGGCCTGGGCAGCTGGTGGGAGGTGTCACGGGGCCACGGGAGCTCTGTGGGGTGGAACGTGGAGTGCGGGAGGTGAGGCAGGTGCCCAGGTCTCATCCCAAAGGCCTTGCCCACCTTCTGCTCTGCCTCGTTTCTTGAGGTGCTGGTCCGTTCTGACCGCCCTTCAGAGCCACGAAGCAAGGGATGTAGGAGCGAAGAGCAGGCCCCACGTGAGGACTCTTCTGGAAGGAGCTGGGGTTGGAATCTGCAGAGCATGAGGTGTGGCTCCTCCTTTGTTCCCTGGGGTAGCTAGTGAGGATTTCCCACTAAGAACTACTTAGGTATTTTTCTTACAATTTTCCTTTCCCCCTGACTTCTGGACAAATGTAAAGGCCTGTACGTGGACCTGTTCTTTGCTCCAAGCAACTCGTTAGTGAATTGAGATGCAGGCAGGTGTGTACATGGCGATGCGCAGGTGCAGACGAAGGCGATTTATCTTCCAGTGCAGCCCTGGTGGTGAGGGCTCCCGACTTCCCTCCCTCTCCCTTCCACATTATGGGACAAGGACCGCAGGAGGCGGGTGGCAGGAAAAGCCACTGGGGAGGGGCTTGCTAGAGCCTTGGTGTTTGGCACGGGGAACTTACTGCAAATTGCAAATTACTTTTGCAAAAATCAGCTTGTTTGCAAAGAGGCAGGAGGAGCTGGGTGGCCTTGTTGTCTGTGAGTGCAGTAAACGGCTGAACCAAGAATCCTGTGCGTCAGGCCCCTCCCCTGCTCTGTCTCCTCCTGGAGTAACAGGACGGGGCATGCAGTTAGTGCCCAGTGTGCGTTAGCTGACCAGAGAGGAATCTAGGGATGGGCATGCCGGCTGCCTCCTGTCTCAAGCCTTGGTGGCCTGTTCTCCTGCCTGTCGTCGGGGTTCACCCTGGTTCGTCGAGGTTGCTGCCCAAACGTTACCTTCTCAGAGGCCGTACCTGCTTAGCCTTCGAAAAGTACGTCACGCTCATCCTGCACCTGCTTTCTTTGTAGCCCTCATGGCTCACTTGACATTTCGGGGATCCTGTGTGTGCACATGTGTCCTCGGTAGTAGAGGGCAGGGGCTTTATTTTCTCCTCATGGCTGTATGTTACTTTGTGAAGAGTGCCTGGCCCCAGGCAGCATCTAAGAAGTGTTTATTGAATGAAGGACTGTGGGAATTGGGCTGATGATCAGAGCAGGCTTTCTTTTTTCATTTTGAGACAAGGGCTCACTCTGTTGCCCAGGCTGGACTGCAGTGGTGTGATCATGGCTCACTGCAGCCTCAAACTCCTGGGCTCCAGGGGATCCTCCCACCTCAGTGTCTTGAGTAGCTGGGACTATAGGTGCGTGCTACCGTGCCTGGCTAATTTTTCTATTTTTGGTAGAGACAGGGCCTCGCCATGTTGCCCAGGCTGGTCTAAACTCCTGGACTCCAGCGATCCTGCTGCTTTGGCCTCCAAAAATGTTGGGATTACAGGGGTGAGCCACTGTGTCCAGCTGCAAAGCAGGCATTTTTGAGGCTGAAACCTCACTTCTTTTGGGTTCTTCTTGGTCTGATTTAATCTGTACCCTTTAAGGTCTTGCGTAGGAATGCAAAATGTTCTGGTCTCCAGCTTTTTTCTTCCCTCCAATTCTCATTTCAAAAAATCTCCTTTTGAAGGAAACATTTCTGAGTGAAGGAAAGAAAGAACAGGTTATACTGGGGCCAACCAGGGTTCCTCTGGGCTGGGCTTTCTTTGAGGAGATGCCTGGCTCCAGTGCCCTGGACCCTTCAGAGCTGAGCTGGTCCCTGTTCCCCAGACATTTTGTGGGTCTCAGTTGGATACCAATTTGGCCTGATCACAGTTACTAGGATTGGGACTTTGAGTTTCCCAGAAAACACTAGAAAATGATTCTCAGGATTATTGGGGTTGGGTGCTTTAGAGTCTTCGAAAGATGGAGTTAAAGCCGTGCCTCGCTCCGTTTTCCTTTGTCTGTGAAGTGGTCCCCAGGGTTGGCGTATGATGTGCTGCAGGAGAAGGGCCGGCTCCTCCCCGTTTGTCAGCTGCATGGAGTCAGCTGGCTACGCAGCCTCCCCTGCTGAGTCCTGCCCTGCCCCCTGGGCTGACAGTGTTGAGATGCTTCAGCTGACACTCAGCCAAGTCTCATCTTCAAGGCAAACTCAGCAAACGCCAGCCATCTGTCGGATGCGGTGGAAACCCATGGGGTGTGACCCTCGCCCCTTGGATGCTTATGGCCCAGCCGGGGAAATGTGTGTGAATCCAGACAAACAGAAATACCCACTGCGTGGGGGAGAAGGAGGGACAAAGGGAGCCGGCTGACCAGGGACCCCTGGGGAGCATCTGGGCAGCTGCACCTTGCTCTGATGAGGCCTCGGCTGCGGCCCTTGGTCTCCCGACTGCCTTCTGCTCGACTCTGCAGATCCTTTCCTCTGGAGTGTGTAGAGTGATCTGGTTGATGGATCACAGTCTCTGTGGCCATGAGGATTCCCTGCTTCTGTCGTCATGAAAGCCAGCCTGCTAGGGGGAGGGCCAGAGGACCTCTGCCCCGTAGAGGCCTGACTACTGCTTGGGTTCTTCATTCCTTCTCCTCTCAAGCCATCCACCCAGCCATGCCTTAGTCCACCCGTCCGTCCATCCATCCATCAACCCGTCCATCTCCCCATCCATCCTTCTTTTCACCTACCCATCCATCCATCATCCATCTATCCATCCATCTTCCACCCATTATCTACCCATTTATCCACCCATCTTTCATTTTTCATTCCTCATCCATCATTTTTCCAACCATCCATCCAACTATCTCTGCATTCTTCTCTCCATCTGCCCGTTTACCCATCATCCATCTGTCCATCCATTCATTTATCCTCCACCCATCATCTACCCATTCACCCATCCATTCTGCATCCCTCGTACATCATCCATCCAACTATCCATCCATCCATCCATCTGTCTATACATTCTTCTCTCTACCTACCTATGCACCCATCATCCATCTATCCATCCATTTATCCTCCATCTGGCATCCATCCATCTTCCGTTCATTATCCCTCATCCCTCATCCATCCATTCATCCTTCTTTCCTTCCGTCTATCCATCTGTCTTTATATCCATCCATGTGATTCCATTCATCCTTCCATCCATCTGCCAGCCAGCAAATACCTGAGGACCCTTGCCGTGCAGGGCATGGTAAAAGGCATTTAGCAAAGCAAAGAACAAGACAGGCAAAGTCCGAGTGCTCTTGTGAGAACCAGATACTAAATGACCAGTTACACAGGTGATTATTCATTTGCAGTTACAGTCAGTTTGGTGGTGAAGAAGAAATACAGTGTGCTTTGCAGGTGACTAGTTGGGGGACCTGAGTTCACAGGGTTGGGGGCAAGATGGCCTTGGAGAAGGCTGCTCTGATGAAGTTTCGTTTGAGTGAAGAGCTGCAGGCTGAGTGTACGCTGAGTAGAGGCGGCTGGTGGGCGCGGAGGTTTTCAGCAGATCAGACAGCTGTGCAAAGGCCCTGAGGCAGGAGACGATTAGGACAAGTGAGGAGTGGGAAGAAGTCTGCTGCAACCAGATCCCAGGAGGGACGGGGAGCAGAGGGAGGAGAGGCCACAGGGTCACTCTCATCAGAGCATGGAGAATGGACTGCAGGGGCCTGGTGGGCAACAGGCAGTTCAGCTGGGCGGGGGGAGGTGGTCATGATCCTCAGACAGTTCAGGGCCAGTCCACCCTCCCACGCTGGCCCTGGCTCTCAGAGGAACCTTTAGGACCCCTGCTGCCTCCATCTCACACACCCTGAACCCAAGGCTTCTTCCCGTGTCCTCTCCGCAGGTTATTTACCCAACAGTGAGCACGCGGTCGAGGCGATGCTGGCCGCGGCAAGCATCGGCGCCATCTGGAGCTCCACGTCCCCCGACTTCGGTGTGAATGTGAGTCAGGGTCTGTGGCAGAGGGGGCACCCCGTGCGCTGTGAGCATCCTGGGCAGGGGCAGTATGGGTGGAATTCCCGGGGAGCTGGACAGCAGCGTGAGCCCAGCAGGAGGAGGTGGTGTTGCAGCGGCCTCTGTGGGGAGATAAGGAGCCAGAAAGACCTGGGTCTCGTTCTTCCTTTTTTTTTTTTTTTTTTTTTTTTTTTGGAGACGGAGTTTCGCTTCGCTCTTGTTACCCAGGCTGGAGTGCAATGGCGCGATCTCGGCTCACCGCAACCTCCGCCTCCTGGGTTCAGGCAATTCTCCTGCCTCAGCCTCCTGAGTGGCTGGGATTACAGGCACGCGCCACCATGCCCAGCTAATTTTTTGTATTTTTAGTAGAGACGGGGTTTCACCTTGTTGACCAGGATGGTCTCGATCTCTCGACCTCGTGATCCACCCGCCTCGGCCTCCCAAAGTGCTGGGATTACAGGCTTGAGCCACCGCGCCCGGCTCTTCCTTTTTTTTTTTACAAGATGGAAAGACAGTCTTGCTCTGTCGCCCAGGCTGGATTACAATGGCACACTCTTGGCTCACTGCAAATTCCACCTTCCGGGTTCAAGGGATTCTCCTGCCTCAGCCTCCCGAGTAGCTGGGATTACAGGCGCCAGCCACCATGCCCTGCTAGTTTTTGTATTTTTAGTAGAGTTACAGTTTCACCATATTGGCCAGGCTGGTCTTGAACTCCTGACTTTGTGATCCACCTGCCTTGGCATCCCAAAATGCTGAGATTACAGGTGTGAGGCACCGTGCCCCACCTGGTTCTTTCTTTCAAGTAGTCCTGACGTTCCCCACCCACCGTGTTCATGGAAGACCCGGCAGGTGGCGGGTGCAGCGGCCAGTGTTGCTAAGGTCTAGCGAGGTCACCCCGTCTTCCTCACCTGGGAGTTAGTGGCCACATGAGGTTTGCCAAGTGTATGTCCTCTGAGGACAGTTTTCTAGGTTTGTTCTGAAAGTCCTGCTCACAGCAGTTCCCCGGGACCTCGCTGTGTTGGTTTCTGCTGTTTCCAGCCCCTTCCTCTGGACCCGTGCTCGTGTTGTGTGTAGGCACCCTGGGAGGGCAGCCTCTCTGTCCCCAAACTGCCCTAGGGTGTGTCCAGCTGCCCAGAGCGGCCCAGGCAGAGCCAGAAGCATGTGCTGATCCCCGCTGGGGATACCTGGCTCTCGGTTCCTCCACGGGGCGAGTGAAGCAGCTGCAGAGCTGGTCTTCCCAGGGCCCCCACGACCCAGCCAGGGCCCCCTCCTGGCTGCAGAACCTTGGGTGTCAGGGGCCCTCAGGAACCAGGAGACCCCGTTAGAGGACACATGGCGTCCTTGTCCCTGACCACGCCTCCTGGTGCCAGCTGCACCTGTTCTGGGCCGGGCCCTGCGCCGTCCGTCAGTCCACAGCAGCAGCTGCAGGTGTGGCCACCGGCCCTTTAGAGCTTAGTGCCTGGCGTTGGTGTCTGTGCTTGTCCACAGGCGAGGCTTTTTGGGCGTGAGCTTAGAAACTGTGTCCATTTGGAGGCATGCTCTGTCAGTAAGGTTTTGGAGGAGGAGTCTCCTTTCTCCACACCATGGAAGGAGAGATCAGACACAGGCCTGGAGGATGAGACTGGCCGTCTGTGTATCAGGCCTCGGCACCAGCCTGGCTGATGATGGAGCCCTGCTGAATTCGGGGAGGGCGTGGCCAGCCTATAGATCCGAACTCGTGGCTGGATGGCTGTGCCCTGCCTTCCGGAACTTTCCTGTGTTCTTTCCCAGGCCATCTCACCCCAGGACCTCCCCAGGTCAGCAGGGACTGACCTGAGGCAGAAATGCAACCTGTGGCCTCTCCTGTCCCAAGGCCCTCTGTGGGGGCTGCCTGGGCTGCTGGGGCCAGCGGCGTCCTTGTGGGAGGGTCTGGAGGGGTGGGGTTCCTGGACACTGTTGCTCTCAGACCCCTCAGCCGACCTTGAGCCACGCTGTCCAGGGCAGAGGAAAGGGCCCCAGGGCGACGCAGCAGGACCTCTGGGTATGCTCAAGGCCGGGCGGGCAGGCTGCCTCTGCTCCACGCAGCTTCCTTGATCAGTGTCCTTGGGCAACGCCTTGGTGTCCCCAGAGGGAGAATGTTGACAATGTCAGTGCAACTGCAGGGGGCCTGTGCGGACGGCAGGGATCCGTTAGTGTGGATTCAGGGACAGGGTGTGACCCTCCAGGCAAGCCCAGTCAGCGGTAGCTGCTGTTAACTAGTCGGGAGATGGGTGTGTATGGAGTTAAACTGTGACTGCGTGTTTAACCTTTTGTAAACGGGTTGTGAGAGGCTGGAAGAGACATGTGTGGCTGGGGAGTGATCATGGCTTCCCACGGCTGGAGTCCCACCCCTCTGCCCCTGGAGAGGTGATGTCGGAGCTCCTGGAATCGGCCTTTGGTGTCACGTCTGGAGCCAGCGGGTAGAGAGAGGAAGAGCCTCTGACTCCACGTGTCTGCAGCGGCAGGGCTGGCCCCCAGCCTGTCCCACAGCTGCTTCCAGCCTCGCCGGGTCATTGTTCTATGCACGTCACTCCCCACTGACTCCCGTCCGGCAGGATCTGCCGGTCCTGGCAGGACCCAGGAGGGATGCAAGGCTCTGTAGCAAACATGATCTCCGGGACCTGGCTGGGATTGGTCCAGGGTTTTATGGAATCACAGCCTCCCGGAGCCACCTCTGGAGCGGGAAGTGCTGGCCGAGCTGCTGGGTGCACTAGATGGCAGCATGGCTCTGCTCACCCCGAGACTCCTCCGGCTTCTGGGAAGAGAACAGTCCCGGGTCCTGCAGCTGTGTCTCAGGTCAGAAAATGACAGGGCCACCCACCCTCCTGCTGAGATGCTTCTCTCTGTCCCTCATTTTGCTAGTGTCTGAAGTATAGACTCCATCCTACCGGAGACAGGGGTGTGTGTGACGGGTATTACTCACACTCGAAGTGAGATCCAGCCATTGGCAGGGAGTCCAGCAGCGTTTGGCGGCTTCATGGCTGGCATTATTGGGCTGTGCTCCTGGCTGCGTGCACCCGGCATGGGAGACCCTGCATGAATGCCATGTGGCATAGCGCTTGGTGCCACACACACCTGGACACCCGCTGTCTGAGTTGAGTAAGGACCTGGCACAGGTCAACTGCACCAAAGCCTCTGCTGACCCTCCGTTTACCATCCTTGTTCGGGGGCTAAAACTAACAGGGATGAATTCCTGGAGCTGCTGACGAAGTGAGGCTGGAACTGAGCCGAGGCTGTTGGGTTCTGGGCTGGTGGATGGTTCCCTGCATTGGTTTGCAGATCTCTGCTTTGAAAAGAGGTCCCGTTTTTAATTTCCGGCATCACCATGTTAAGCTTCAGATGGTGCCCGTTTTTGGTAAGGGGTGCTTTTCAGAAAGTGCAATGAACTGTGAATATCTTCCCTTTGGAATCATGTTTTCTGTTGTTTTGAAATCATATTTCTTTGAATCACAGAGAACATTGTAAAGGGAAATTGCCGTTCTCCATTGACTTCTGGTCTCTGTCGATGGAGTCCTACCATTGTTCTTGTAGGTTCATGCGCCTGCCCACTGAGAGCTCCTTGGCTGGCTGCGCTGGGTGCTGAAGGAACCCTCTGCTGCAGAGCCACAGACCGCAGTGGGCTGGGCATCCGTCTTTCCTTGGTGACACTGGTGGAATGCGTTTCTGGCTTTGTCACTTCCTGTGCTTTACTTCCACCCTGTTCTGGGCTCTCTCCCACCGTTGCCCACCTCCCTCTGCCCGCTCTCTGCTGGCTGCCTGGGCATCTTAGGTTGCCTTACTAATGCTTTTGGCCTTGGAGGGCATTGCCAGTTTGGGGAGGTGCTCTGTTCTCAGGGTTCCCAACCTTTCCAGCCTTAGCAAGTTCTCTAGGTCCTGAGTCTTTTGATGCCTTTGGGTTTTTTGTTTACCTTTGAGCCTTTGCCATCTTCAGAGATGCCAGGGAAGGGCACCCTCTGATCCCTGCACACAAGAGGGCCCAGCCTGCCTTCAGGTGGCTCTGTGTGTGTGTGTGTGTGTGTGTGTGTGTGTGTGTGTGTGTGTGTGTATAAATGGGACAGCCATTCTCGCTCACTCTGGGTGGCTGTCAGCCTGATTCAACACTGGCTGTTGGTTTCAATGCTTGATTGGTTGCTAAGCACCGTATTCGGGTCAGACACATGTTCATGGGTGTGTTTGTTTTGTTACAACATGAAAGCATCCTCGAACAGCTCTCCTGGGCCAGAACAGGCTGACAGCTGGTTTCGATGCTCGAGATCTTGACCCCTAATATTCCAGCCAGGAAAACCTCAGCTGTGGCAGAGGACTCCTGAGTCTTTTCATGGGGGTAGGGCCCAGACCTCTGATTCGGAGACACTTGTCTTTGTAGCGTGATCACTGTCACTGTGCCTGGGGTCCTGTGGCACGTGAGCCCGAGATCACTGGCAGGCTCGGTCCTTTCACCCTGAGATCATTGCCACCCTGTACTGGGCTAGTTCTCTGAGATGCCAGCTTCCCTGTGGAAACTCTCTGCTGACCTCCAGGGCTCCCCCTGGCCGGCTCCCTCTGTTTCCTCCTGGGCCTCGGGCTTGCTAGCAGGTCTTCCTCTGGGCCTCACCCCACCTGCCCCTGCTTCTTGAACTCTGTGTCCTCAGTTCAGAACGGCCTCTCCTCTCTCCCACCTACCTGGCGGTTGGTATTTTTTTTTTTTTTTTTTTTTTTTTTTTGAGGCGGAGTTTCGCTCTTGTTACCCAGGCTGGAGTGCAATGGTACAATCTCGGCTCACTGCAACCTCCGCCTCCTGGGTTCAGGCAATTCTCCTGCCTCAGCCTCCTGAGTAGCTGGGATTACAGGCACGCGCCACCATGCCCAGCTAGTTTTTTGTATTTTTAGTAGAGACAGGGTTTCACCATGTTGACCAGGATGGTCTTGATCTCTTGACCTCGTGATCCACCCGCCTCGGCCTCGTGATCCACCCGCCTCGGCCTCCCAAA